TAGAAAATACTTTAAGTTTGCTTAGAATATTATGTTCGTATTTAATTTTAAACATACATGTTTTTCTGAGGTAACGTCTTTTATCGTCGGCTCCTTCTCACGTAGAGAATAGGACTGGGAGGTATTCCTATTAAAAATTCAATAATTTAAAATTAAATATGAACATAAATCGAGAAATTAAGATGAAAAGGAATATATACCAGGCAGTGTTTCTCTAATTTCCTCTTCGCTTTGTTCAGATTCTTCCTCACGTTCCTCCATCTCCTCTTCCTCCCCCTCCTCTTCCTCCTCGTCTTCCCTCTCCTCTTCCTCTTCTTCTTCTTGCTCTTCTTCTTCTTCCTGCTCTTCTTCTTCTTTCTGCACTTCTTCTTCTTCCCCTTCTTCCTCGCTCCAGATTTTCTCCTCTGGGATTATAGGGGAGTACATATGTTCGTATTCTAAGAAAAATATATCGTAAATTTTTATTTTTGATATTAATATTATGTCCTTTAATTAATAAAAATATTATGTACTTTAATTAATTAATATTTTTTCTCTAACAACTTACCAGGTGAAAACACACGTCGATCGGGAGTACTTACTGCCGTATCTAAAAACAGAGTTGTATTAAGATTTTCTACCTTTTATCATTTGTTTTAAAGATTATTTATTTAAAATGTAAACCTACCAGATGATAATTGAATAATTTCCGGAGGCGCCTTTTCCTCCTCCTCCTCCTCCTTCAATTCCTGTGTAGGTAAAATACGAGCCCTTCCTAAAAACATTTAATATTTTAATCTTAGAAAATAAAAATTACATTTTAACATTCTTCCTGGCTAGTTTTTAGCGAAATTACTTACGTGCTGGTCCTGCTTCTGGCTCATCCTCCGCGCGTCGTCTCCGAATCTGGGTGAGCGGATACACTATCGCCGTGGCTTTTTGACGCGCATTTCTTACTACAATTTATTATTAAAAATTAGCTAAATCGCTAGTTCGATATATGAGTTATTTTTATAAAAATAATAGAGTCACTTACCATTGTGGAGATGAGAGAGGAGATTTTGGATGTGACCACCCACATCCTCCTCCTCGTGTCCAACCGCACGTCGCGTTTCAATTACTTCTCTGGCAATCCGGAGTAAACGCGCGTCGGTACCAAAATATCCTTGCTGATACAATACTCTCAATATTGTATCAGAACATTCACAGGAAAAACGTGAAAAGCAGATAGTTGGCATCAAGCGAAACGTTAGATATTTGAGATAAAAATTTCTCCGCGTTTATGCGAATATCCAACATTGATGCTAACTTTATGCTTCTTTTAATCACTTCACTGCCCATTTTTCGCATCTTTATTCACGTAAAATAATCCGAAACTTTTAAAACTCGCGTGACGAAACCGAGATGAAGCACGAAAGAATTCAACTCAGAAATAGTTTTAGATAGCGCAAAATGCACTATATATAGGGAAAATCTTTTCCAAAAGAAATTTATAAAAAATTGTAGAATTATCCTGTAGTTTCGAGAGGGTGAGGGGTAGGAATGCTATCTCAGCCCAGGTAATAAATCATTTTTTCTTGAAAAATTTATATTACTTGTAGCTTGACCCTTTTTCGATTTCACTTTTTTTGTTTACTAACGGCGTATAAACGGCGCCAGATATATAACACGTCCAAATAAATAGTTATTTAAATTTTTCGGAAGGAAAGTTCTCGCTTCTTCAAACATTTAACAAATTAAATATTAACAAATTTTTAACATTTATAAAATATTTCTTACTCGTATTTCTATTGTATATTTTGATACTTTCTTCTTCTTCTTGAAATAGTTTTTGCATTTTATGCGATTATGATTTTACGATGATTTTACGATGATTTTTAAATTTTCTCATCTAATACCCTGACACGTTCGAACGTGATCGAACCTGTAATATTCGCTTTATTCGAGAAAATTCTTTCCTTGAAAAAGAGCAACGTAAAATTATAGTTTATTCGAATATTCAATAATTTATTTATTTAAAATTTTTCTCATCTAACATCGAAGATTCGCGTGTGTTCGAACATGATCGAATCTGTAATAATTCTGTTATTCGAGGAAAGTTTTTCCTTGAAAAAAAGCAGAGACAAAGCGAAAATACGCGTTTCTTCTAGAATCTTCTAGAATCGGTTTAACTGTATATTATTTATAAATCGTACTTTTTTATTTATTTCAAAGGAGGGGAAGATGCGATATAGGTAGATAATATACCGCTACACTGCTTCACTCGAGTAACGACATTCGAAGCGTCTACTTTGAAAATATCCCTCCGAGTTTTCGTTTGTTAAAAGTGGACATTTTGTTCAAAATTCTCTCATCGAGTAATATGGCCGGACAACAAGAAGCTGCGAATTCCACTAAACTAGAAAATATTCGCAAGATATTTAAGAACTGCAAAATGTGGAACAAAATTTGCTGCTTTCTACGACGTACCCTCTCAATACCTCTCATACGAAGAAATTACACGTGGGATTACAATTATCTAAAGAAAAGATCTTCGAGCCTGTCGTTAAATTGAGTGGTAATTCTGCAGAAGGAATCAGCTTTGATGCGGACACGTGGCAGCAATTTCAAGACAGTATTCGGTACATGAGCGCATACTTTAACGGAAGCAGCAAAAGCAAAGTAACATCCCATCACATTTGCAAACATATTCATCAATTTCACCTCTGCCTACGGTGCGAAAGCTGTATTGGTGACATATAAGGAAAATGAAAATTTTCCTAAAGAAAACAATACCGGAAATACGCAAGCAGACTCGAAAACGGCGGAACAACCTCCGTCGAAAAAAAGGAAAACTTATTCCGTTGCAGTTGTAATGTAACAAGCTACTTTTCAAGGGATGGAGAATATCGTCAAATGTGTCGATGCTCGTATAAACCATCTAGCATCCATCGTCGATACTGTTAACGAGTGCGCACGTTATTGATCAAGGAGATAGAACTATGTCTACCTAACAATTACATCGACGCCGATATCATCAAACTCACCGTC